GAGACTCATTCCTGGCAGGTCTGCTGCTCAGGGCAACTCAAGAAGACAGTCTGGAATCCAAACACACTCTTTGTGATCTTAGAAATCTGTCTTACCTACATGTCTTTCTGTGATGAAAATGGCCATCTGAAATCACAAATATCTTTGCTCACAGATGAATAACAGAATTTAATTAAAAATAAGTTGTGGGTTTAACTATGTGGATACATATGCAGGAATTTATGTGCACTCTTGTATTATAACCCAGAGGCACATCAGCAATGAGCGAGATACTGACTGACATTGGCCAGTTCTGATTTGGCTACTCAGAGGTAAAAGAACATCTTTAGCACAACAAGACATCAGTTCTGTGTGCCTGTTTCTAGGGTGGCATTACTTATGTTTTCCCTTTAATAGAAAGGTCAGGGAACAAGGCAATACGTGACAATTAAAGGATATGTCCATATGGAACCACGAAGGACAAAGAACCATGAATAATGATGAACTGACATGAACAATGAAGATCCACAAAGAGTTTACCTACCTTGTCAAAAAGGCCACATTCACAGATAAGCTGCTCTCGAGCTTTGGTGTTGATGGCTATTGTGAACCGCATATGTGGAACCAAGAGCTGTGAAATGAAACAAGCAATGGAAGAAGGAAAATTCTCAGACTGAATTCAACAGCAAGCCAGATGTAAAGTTGGAAGTCCTGGTGGTTCAGCTGTATGCTATCTTGCAGGGCAGCCAGTTAAACTATTTCAGCTGAACGATGGCCAGAACTTCCTTTTGGTTTGTCCAGCTGATGTGATAACCACCCCAGCCCACACACACCCTCCCTTCATGCAAGGGCTAACCTTGAAGAGGGGATGTACAGCAGGCAGCTGCCGGAACATAGCTATGCTGAACACCTCTGAGACTAAGTGTGTCCGTAAGAGGTGGGTCACTGTCTGGTGGACGTGGAAATCAGCGGAGCGGACCCAAATTTTAGCCAGCAGCCAGTCGTATGTGGCATCCGAAGGAAGGAAGATGGGATTGTCTGGTCCAGGCTTTTGACCAAGCTGAAAGATATAAAAAGAATATGAAGCCCCAAGTCCTTCCTGTTTAAAATGAGACAGCAGACCTTGTGACCCTCTAAAGACCCTGACAGCAAGCCCACCTGGATCGCAATGGGCACAACTTTTTTCTCCAGATTCTTATACAGCAGACAGATGGGTGCAGCCAAGTACTGTATCGTGCATGGGTCTGTTTTATTGGCATCCACACCATCAAGCAGCTCATAGTCCACTATGAAAATGTTTCCTTGCTGTGGGAAAAGATGAAAAAAACCCCAACCAAAGTAAAAAAAACCCAAAACAAAACAAAAAACATGATGTGTTTTAACGATATGCAAGCAGCAAGCAGCTTGGAACAAAGGAATGGAAAAGAATGGGAAGTTTTGGTCAGCGACTGACTTGAGCTTGGTGGTTACAAGCAACCTTTGGCCCACCCTTGCTCATGGCAGCTCAGGAACGATGACATTGAGACAGCAAGTACCCCTGCAGGAACTACCTGACTTGTGTCTGCAGAGTCTGGCAGTGAGCCTTTCAGCAAAGAGCATCTATGTATTTGGTACTCATGCAGTGACACCCGGATGCAAGCAAGTTTCACACTGCCAGCTGAAGAGAACCCTGTGTTAACTGCACAAACAAAAGCAAGGCACCACCCCTGTCAAAGCTTCTTCAGCATGTTAGCAGGTAAGATGATACCAGGAAAGGAAGAGGCACTTTTCCCCTCTGAGACATCCAGTCAATCTCTAACCTTTCCAAGAAAACCAGTGAAAAAGGACTGGTCATCTCCTGGTTATAGCTCTTCCACTGGACCTGGAGACAGGCATTGCCTGCAGCTCCAGAACAGCAGGAGAAGAGCCAACAGGAGCGTTGCCAGACTGCAGAGATAAACAGCTTTGCCATGACCTATCACACATTCTGAAGAACAGAAATGTGGCTGAAGGCAGTAAGAACAGATTGTGGAGATTAGAGGATGTGAGAAGGAACAGGAGGTGGAGAAGGTGGAGCCCAGCCTAACCCAGAGCTGTACCTTCACTTCCTCCTCCAGTGTCAGGTTCCTCTCCAGACTGCATTCTACCATATCCATGGTCACAGGCAGCTTCTTGGGTATCTCTGTGCATCTCCGGATCAGCACAGGATTACATCCATTCAGGAACTGGTAGCCAAACATAA